TGTATTATTCAATAGAGAGGTTTTAATAATTTGAAAAATTTCACTAAACTATAAACTTATATAATGTCACGAATTGGTTTATAGACACAAAGACCGACTTTTTATTATATTTTAAGCAGTGAATAATTTGGACACTTATTTTTGAAAGCAAATTCAATTTAAAAGTTTCTTTCATTAGAGATGAATAGATTCAACAGTAGACGTGTTTAATAAATTGTGAGACATGGAGTGACCATGTTCCTTTTATTCTATCAAAATTTAGTCTTGAATAAAATATATATCCGTATGTTTTATAATAATATTCTATTAATGATACTGTAAAATGCAAATATTTAAATAAAAATCTTATAAAATGTCATATACAGTATCTACAGTATGGTTTATAAATCTCACAATATTTAAATTCCCGGTATTCAAAAATCTAAAACTTAGTAATAATAATTAATAAACAAAATGTACCATTAGTTTTCAATACAGTTTGAATGCAATCATATTTAATGAATTGTGATATCTGTTGAATATATTCGTGAAAAACATATTTAAAGTAATCCGAAACTTGATTCTTAAAGTCGTGTAAATAAATGACTTAAATATTGATGTTTGGCTTCATTTATGGTCTAAAAACAGATATATTGTTAGACTTAATGCTCGACATTAATAGCGATTGTGTGAAGTTCTTATCGGAATAACGCGTTTGTTAGCAGTTCTTCACCACAAAAAGCAATATATATTCGACTTTCACACCAAAACATTTGAAAAGTTGACGTTTTCATTGCTATTAAGCGAGAGAGAGAGAGAGAGAGACAGAGAGAGAGAGAGAGACAGAGAGAGAGAGAGAGAGAGAGAGAGAGAGANAGAGAGAGAGAGAGAGAGAGAGAGAGAGAGAGAGAGAGCTCTAGGACGGGTAGAACAATGGTTTGGCGCATATATTAAGGTCTGGGCATATATTCATACATTTTTGACAAAAATACGGTTACAAAAGAGGCAGATGTGATGTGATGTGAAATATGAGTGCTTATGTGCTTATGTTATCGATTATAAAATGAATAAATTATTATGAATTCTAACATATAATGAATTGGAAAAAGAATTCAATGACATAATAAGAAAAGTCTTTTATGCAAAATAGAGAAAAGTTTCATTGAGTTAATAAAAGCAATGCTTGACAATAGAGATCGAAATCTAAGTCATAATAATAATAATAACTGGAATTCAATTCAGTGGAGCTATAAGATAGACGGGTATTGGGAAAGGACTGCAAACTAGTGTATTGTCGGTGCGGTTGGGTCTATGCCTACGAACTATTGGTGTAAATTTCAATCGAAAGGTTGACAAAAGTGACAAAAATAATTCAATAATTCACTGCATATTATTGTTTGACAGCAAAAACTTTTCTACACTTTATTAGAGGCAATGAATAGGAAGAGATGCTGAGGAGACATCAGACATATATGTGTAAACCATATATAATATATAATAATATAATATAATATATAGTATTATCCCTTCCAATATCGTCATAACGAAAAATAACGCATTAAGTCAATCATCAGAGGCTTATTGAAAGCCCAGCCCTTGATTTATGAAGACCGGACTGAGTCTATTGTGTTTGGCTGACAATTGTTAGCAAACCTGGACAAAGACTGGCCTAATATCTCTGTTCATAAAGCGCTCCATCCATTCATTGTGCACAACATTTTTGTGCACAAAAATAATAGGAATCTACAGAATATACAGAATATATAGAATATATTGCACTGAATTTAAATCACACCGAAAGCTATATTCCATTCATAACACACCATACAATACATAGAATACTGTATTCTATACACTATTTAACACAACACAATGCATCAGCAATAGAGATGATAGCACTCTCTTCTCATCGTTTATCCAATTATTATTAAAACCACAAAAATCACATCACAATGAGATTAACTTATCGTAAAATATTCTCTAAATTACAAACTTTGCATTCATTTCGCAAACAATACAAATCAATATTTCATTAAAATTTGAATTCAAACAAAAATCTATATATCATTACTTACATTAACAACCAATAAACTAGAGTTAGTAGAGTTGGCATCACTTCTAGTTATCCATTAATTTATTGTTTAAACTTTTTATTTTTTAACATTAAATCATATTATGATTCAAACAAATGGCAGATTTGTATATAAAATCTTCAATTCTTGAATCCATTCTCCAATACAGTATAAAATGTGAAAATGTAACCAAATTATATGAATAAACTTAACATATAAGTTGTAATAGCAGTTGTAATAATCACATTCATAATCCTTTAATAAGATGCTGACAAGAAAAGTTTACATCATTTATTACACTTTAAGTTATACCGTTTAACTTAATAGTAATACGTTTGTGAAGCACTGTTACACCTGTTATCATCACATTAGAGACTTGGGATGAGAGAAGATTAACTGTTGAAGAAATTGATCATGTTAAGTTAACTATGTTAGATGTGAACTCTTAACATGTAAACCAAATGTTAACCACATTAACCAAAAAGTGACAAAACATAAGCGATTTATTGCATAACCAATGATTAGTAGTTTAAAAGCATATATTGAGCACAAAGTGATGATTTGGTGCGAGAGGACGGCGTGTTTGGTGTGTAAGCTTGCAGTGAGTAGTGAAGGGATCGGTAGTCTAGTGTGTGGTGTGGTGTGCGGTGACTGTTGGCGAAGTGCGCGCCACTCACTCAACACAACATCACTGGAAGTGATGCGTGAAGTGAGCGTTGAGTGAGAATCAGAGTTACGTTAGTCTTATGTTATATTAAATAAGCAAAACTTAAAGCATTTCTAACTCTAATAACTATTCGTTATATAATAAAAGTGTTTTTAAATGCTTTTGTGAATTGAATGCATAGTCTGTGCTATTATTGCGTTTGCGTTCATAGAGTATAGAGAAACTAGAAGTTGAAAATTGTTGGCTCTCTTTGTGGACTTCCTTAAGCTTTCTAAAGATTATTCAGACATTTCTACCGGTTCTCAATCAACAACAATAAAACTCAAATGAAAAGCACCCAAAAAGAGGCACTCAATAGAGAGACAATAAAACGAGAGAAAATTATTTTCCAGTCAAAATCATTGGTTAACTATTTTTGCACAAATCAATGACCAAAACAAGTGAATCACACAATACTCTGGAAACACAATTAATTCATTGAAATACTCGTCTATAGTGTATAGTAGTCTCGAAAGCATTACTTTATGTAACATAAGAGAGAATTTCTGCCATTCTTTGTAACAATTCTTTAAAGAATTATTTTTTTCAAATTTTCATAACATTTGTGCTTTCATTTGAAGCATTCATTAAAAGAGGACTCAAAGAGAAATGTTATTTATTCAGAGATTTGGCTTAACATTGAATAAAAACTCAGCGAATATTATATTTCAATATCATTTGCTTTTCGAGTGAATAGATGTGAACAATAGAGTGAATAGTATTGAAGCACAAGACTAGTGATGAAGAGTTGCCAAAGAAGTGAAGATATAAATGCATGTATTGTATGAATGATATAACGATCCCATGAATGGGTCTTCAAAAGAGGTCTTCGGACAATAAGAACCATTGAAAAGCTGGTCCTCTATTCACAACCAACTAAACTGGAGTCGAGCCGAGACTCACATACTTTGGTATCGATACGAGAGATGAGTCTTCATTAGACTGAATGACAGAGCATTTCCGGAAAAGGGATGAAATGACTTCAATACACAACCACTCAATGTCTGCTCTAATGCCCTGTAATTCAGTAATGCATTTACAATTAAAAAATAATATAAACCATTGCATAGACTATAGACTTGTGATTGTATTCTCTTATCCAAAGGCATCAACTCATCCCAAGACAACTCGTTGTACTGTATTCACCATTAATTCAAAGTATAGTAATACCGAAAGCATATTTCCAACAATTTCTCGTAAACATCATACATATCATACAAATACTAAATTAAATTAAATATCTATTAAAATGAAAGCCAATTGAAATATAAATGAATGCTTCTATCTAATGAAAAGATTTTCATATATTGCTTAATAAAAGACATAAATAATAAAAGATTTGTGTATAAAAAGGAAATAAATTAGTTTCGCATTTGATTTAATAGTTTAGAGAAAGTCTTGTGAATGGAGTGGTAGTGAGACTCGAGACTCACAGAGACTCGAGTCCTGCGAAAGAAGTGTTTGTATTTTGATGTAAATTAAAGTTTCCTCTCTTTTGTTAATTTCACTTCTATTACAGCATTCACTGTATTCGCCAACAAAAGCACATCAAACAAGTCAAACCTATCTGTAGTCGACTCGAGAATCACACATCAGTTATAATATAATAGTTGTTTAACATTACTGTAGAGCACATCAAACGCTATTCATTCGCTTTTTTGGTACATTCAAGACATAAATAGTGTCGTCAATGTGTGCACCACTCATATACCAGTCCTACAATCCATTAAAAAAGCACCAAATTTTAGAATGACTTCAAACTCAAAGCTTTTTATATGTATTGTGTTTTCAATTGAAAAAAAGTAGAAAAGAGAAGAGGTTTGAGAATAATATAAGAAGAATAAGGCATTGAAGACATTGATGGCTAAGAAGACACGCAAACTGAGGCCACAACTGAGGAGCAAATGAAAGGTCTGCATATCGTGTCTGGAAGTGCATTGGATTGCATTTTCATTGCATACATATACAGACAGTACTGTATTAATAGCACACATGAAAGGACGCAAATGAATGCAATGAACATAAGAGCAAAACACCATAATCTCAATACAACTCAAACTTACAGTACTTTTTGTTCTCGTATTCTTATAACTTATAATAAACTCTAAACTCCTCGGAGATGTTTCTTAACAAAAATATTATTATTATTTTTAGTTGAATTATTTAATGCAATGAATATATTCTTCGAGTTTATATCTCGAAAAAACATTTGAAATTAAGTTTTAAACAGTATTTCACTTATTGTTCGCAAGTATTCAAAGCGTGAAATACATTACAATATGAAAACATTTCTATTATTTAGGTTTTGCCGCAAAGAAACTCGAAATACTCTTCATTCCTGTCTTATCCACTTTTAGCAGTTCTCGTTGAGACCGAGACATCTTCGTTGCCTTTAAAGCAATTAACACCAGTTATTGTATAAGAAATTCATCCATAGCTTCAGACACTCCAACATTACCTTCTTGTCTTGTGTTGAACTACTGGTTCCGCCTCTATATGAAGAGTAGTCTTCAAACACACCTGAACTCTCGTTTTCATCCAGTTTTCTCTGATATTAATAAAAGCAATAAAAGTAATACTTTAATGACTCGAAATTGAAATCAATTACTTTATGTTGTGTCGATGTCTTCGGGACACTCGAGTCATTGGTTTCATCTGAAAGTCTTTACATAATAAATAAAATGAATAAAATGTACAAAACAATCTTATTTGTAACAAACACCTCAATTGTTTGTGCAAATCGTTACTTAATTCTGTGGTTAAATATCTTGAAATCAATTCAAACGCCATTTTTGTAAATTGACGATTTTAAAGTAAAGTTTTTTTATGTTAATTTAATTTTCTGTATTTTCTTAAAGATTTAATTTTAAGGAATATTAGATTTTTAAAAACGTCACTATTTTTAATTACGTCTCCTTAAGGACACGTTTACAAAAAATCTTTCAAACCATGGTTTGAATGTCAGGGGAATAAGTAATAGTCACTCATCTAATAAAAGATTTGCGAATCAATAAAATATTTTTATCATTAATTATAAAATTTTGATAATATATTCAATACATGTTTTCTTCAGAAAAGTCGAAAAACACCAAAACATTAATCACAAGGACATCAAAAACAGTAAATTTCTAACAGAATTGAGAAAATGTGAGTTGAATTCAAATATGCATTAATTGAGATGACGTTTGCTTTGAATTGGCGTTAAAACAAACAGACAGCCAGAAAATCAGTCAAAAGTGTCGCTAAGTATTCATAAATAAGTGAAGAAATCTTAAAACAATGAACCAAACAATTAAAGATTTGGCAAAAGGTCTGCCAACTGATCCGATGCCGGCGCTCAAAGCACGCGATCAGAGGGTAAGTCACGCACCCATTCGTATCGCAAACCTAACGCCACAGGAAAGAAGACTTGCCGTGAAAAACGCGTTGAGATATTTGCCACCAAAACATCACTCACTTCTGAGCAAAGAGTTTGCACAAGAGTTGGACCAATTCGGACACATTTATATGTATAGATTTGTGCCCGACTTTGAAATGAGAGCCCATCCTATCGACGAATACCCGGCTAAATGCCGCGAAGGCGCCGCTATTATGCTATACTAATACTTATTAAACCTGGTTTCTCACCGAGTCAAAGGTGTGCTTGAGCAGTGGATACCACCGTTGCCTGTCCAGAAGAGTTTGACCATAGGTTAAGTACGTAAAGAATGAAATATATGTGTTTATATTTCCATAATTACACAATATTTTATAAAGTATTGCTCTATAAGTGACTGATTGTCAAATTGACTATTGTTTTAATATTCACAAGTATTGCATAATATTTAAAACTTTAGATTTGCATTAGTTTTAAATTATCTAAATTTGATGCATATCTCCAGAGTTAATAAAATGTGGAAGAAATGAATCAATGATTATAACCAATGAATCGCATAATTTTTAATGATCGACAAAGACAACTGTCCTCTCAAATAGCAAACCTATTGCATACACGCAATCAAATTCTTAAGTCGTGAGAAATGTTATTTCAAACTTAAGTTCACTATACTTTTGAAATAATTGTTTTAAATTTAATAAAATACAAAAAGCATAATTAGTGAGAAAAGAGTTAATATTAGTATTGCAGGCATTTAGAGCCATAAAACGATAGAAATGTCAAATATGTTGTTACAGGGTGTGCTTGGTAAATCATAAGTTATGATTCATTGCTACAAAATATTGTCACTACAAAATATAGCCCTCAATTGGAAAACTCTTAAGACAATGTTTTATTAAATACTTTAAACATTTAGACATTGAACGATACAATTAAACTGTACACAAAATTGTGCATCTTTGTGAAGGCTAATTATATAAAAATGAAATTTACCATTCTTAATTTTAAAATAAACATGTAATAAAAAATACTTTAAACATTTAGACATTGAACGATACAATTAAACTGTACACAAAATTGTGCATCTTTGTGAAGGCTAATTATATAAAAATGCAATTTACCATTCTTAATTTAAAAATAAACATGTAATAAAAAGTTGTCATACAATTCAGTGTATCCAAATCTAACTCAAAACTTAATATGATTATAAAGATAATTGATAAAGTAACATTTAAAATTAAAAAACAAAATATATCCACTTCATGTAATACTAATTAAAATATTTTAGGAAATTTGAGTCCAATTTTAGGAGGATATTATTTTAATTTATACAACAAATGTTCAAGTAAATTGTAAAATCTTGGTAGAATTGCATTTGGTTTAAAGTTTAAAGCTGGGAAATTCTTAAATTTTATTTGACATGTAAAATGGCATATTTAGGGCACAATTTTGGATTACAATGAAGTATTTGTCGGACATGGAAACGGATCAAACTTTGGTCATGAATTCTGGACACCCGTTAGGAATGTATCCGAGCTTTAAGAGCAGTCCTCGACTCATAATATCAAACGGAATGGTAATTCCCAACTATTCCAAGCGTGAAGACTATGACCGTATGTTTGCATTGGGAGTGTCGATGTACGCGGTCTACTGACGGCCGTCAATGACGATATAGCCAGGCGTCCCGTATCAAGTGCCGTGCTGGTAATGATAGTATTTGCGGCCGGCGTTCATAAACGTGTGTTTACTGAATTCTCCTCAGCAAAAACAGACATCAGGATTGGGAGGCATGAGTGGCGCTCAGGCAAAGGCGGCCACAATTGCCGGATGTATTTCAGTGATCGCTGAGGTGTGCGAAGAAGCACTCCTCAAAAGACAGGCTCAGGGATGGCTCAACGAAATCATCTCTGATTTGGATCTTCTAATCGATAGAATACGTGTCGCAAAGACCGATAAAATTGTCACAAGTATTGGCTATTTTGGGAATATCGTTGACTTATGGGAACGACTTGTTGTCGAATACGACAAAACACAGCAAGTCTTAGTAGAGTTAGGATCGGATCAGACCTCGTGTCACAACCCCTTCAATGGAGGCTATTATCCGAGCGGATTGACTGTGAAAGAGGCCCAGAATATGATGAAAAGCGATGCAAACAAATTCAAACAACTTTGCCAACAAAGTCTCGTCCGACAAATCAATGCAATCAATCGGTTGTCACAAACGGGACTATATTTCTGGGATTACGGCAACGCTTTCCTTTTGGAGGCTGTGTCTCGGCCACGACTACACCCCCGGCAGTCGTGACGAAAACCGTAAGTTAAGTTTATGGGCAGAATACAAGTTGTGTAATACCCTCTGTATAAGAGTAATCCTAAGCCTGGGAAGTCTACCTAGAGCTCTTCTTGTGATCCCAAAGACCTGGATATTACTGACAACATTGCTCTCAATGTTCTCAAACAACTGGTAGAAAGGGATGGCATTCCAAAAGAAGTGAAGGATAACTATATGGATAATATTAAATGGATATCAGAGGCAAAAGAGCACAAACTAGTGGTGGGAAGTCAGGCGAGGATTCTATACTCCGATCAAATCGGAAGAGTAAGCATTGGTCTGGCGTTCAACGAAGCCATCAAAAACAAAACTATCAAAAGTCCAATCATTTTATCGCGAGATCATCACGACGTGAGCGGCGCCGACAGTCCTTTCCGAGAGACCTCTAATATATACGACGGCTCAGCCTTTACAGCCGATATGGCCGTCTCGACAGTTATCGGCAATTCGGGCAGAGGTTGCACTTGGGTTGCCCTCCACAATGGCGGCGGTCAGACACCACTCTTTCGGCATTCATTTTAATGATTCAAATAACAAATTTTGAAAATATAATTATATTTTAAATGGTTTTAGGGGTCGGTTTGGGTGAAGTCATTAATTGTGGCTTTGGCTTAGTTCTGGACGGCTCTCAAGAATCACACGATAAAGTGGTTAATATATTGGGTTGGGATGTGAGTTGTCTAACACTTCTTAACTATTCATTTGCAAAATAGGTGAAGTCATTAATTGTGGCTTTGGCTTAGTTCTGGACGGCTCTCAAGAATCACACGATAAAGTGGTTAATATATTGGGTTGCCTACACTCAACAGATTGTGAAGAATTGATAAGTAAACGTTTTAATAAAGATGACAAAATAGGTGCTTACCTTGTTTATCCACTACTTACCGCACTCAGCCGCGAGCACCAGACCGTTAGTTAACCGGAAACAGACCATTCAAGACATTATGCTTCACAACAGCAAAGTTCGGGTCACACTTCCCAATGAAGTGGACGACAATGTTGTCAACCATTTGTGATGGCATTCAAACACAACTCAAACTAATCCAACAAAACAGTTACAAAACTAACCCTTTTCTTGAGTGATGTCTTCTTTGCCAGTCTTATAACCACTAACTTTACAACCACTCGACGAGACATTGATTTGATTTCTGCTCAAAGCCTCCACAGTATTGTCGATCTTTATCGACAACCACTCCATTGTCTTCTGACTATTATAGCGGACATACATTTCTTCGTTGATATCTGTAATCAATTCAATGCATTCATGTCTTGAAAATTAATTAATTTTAAATCAATTTTTCGATAAATAAAGTGAACAAAAAAGACATACATTTTATGTCCACAATTGCGGATATTATCTGCGGATCGAGTGATGCCGCCATCTTCGGCACCATTCCTTTGTCGACCAAAACATCGCTCAGAATCTCAAACAAAGAGTGAAATTGTCTTCGTTTCTGTCATTCAAATGGCAATCAATTAAGGGGTCATTCATTGAGTAGTTTTCCATTACTTTCAGAACAAACGGCAATATAATGAACACCACATCCACTGGAGTGAAGACATAGTAATTGCCATCTAATGAGATAATCATTTGGTCACCGATTAGTCTTCGAGATAATTACCGATCAATACCTGAGATGACAGTGTTTTGGAGGAAAAATGACTGAAATTTGTTGGTCTGTCGGACACACTCGTAGAGTTGACAGTCATTCACATCAATGAAGTACAATGTCTTCGGAGTGTCACCACTGGAATCGATCCACACGGGAGTCAAAGAGTCGATGCCTTTCCACACAATGGGTGCTATAATAGTGACCAATGAATACATGACATGATAATAATGACTGAAATCAATGTTATTATAATACCTGACACTATAAACACGTTTTGTCTCATTTGGTCGACAATTGTTGAGACAATGAATGGTTAATACAATGCAAACGATGACTGAATGGCAAACATATGACACAATTTTGGCGCCCATTGTGTCCCTCAATGTCGTGATTGATGTGTGAATTGTGTGAACGCGACGTCATTTGAATGAATGAAACGCTGTTTTGACCGCAAATTCAAAACAACAATAATTGCTATGTTTTGCCGTTAATTGAGTTGTATTTCACTGATTGCCAACCAATCCATCCCTTCATTCATTTGCACCACTGTCTCCACAGACACTAGAACTGACGCCTTCTACAGATTTGCCTTTAGTTTCTCGCCTAGAGACAGACGTTTGAATGACGTCTACTTCAAGTACGTCTTCTGAGCTCTCGCCTCACTTCACGTGAGTTTCTGTCCCACAGAAGTGCCTCTTCTGGACACACAATACAACGAAAACATTTGGATTGAGTCCCAGAAGTACTTAATAAACAACAGTTACCTCTACTGCGAACTCGAGAGCGGAGTGAAGTGCACTCAAAGACAGCCACAGAAGTGCCTCTTCTGGACACACAATACAACGAAAACATTTGGATTGAGTCCCAGAAGTACTTAATAAACAACAGTTACCTCTACTGCGAAGGACTGGTGTTTGGCCGCATGTCCTTCAGGGGTATGAACCCTGAGATCGAGAAACTGATGCAAGAGTTGGACGACAAGAGCGGTGACCACAAGACCAAAGAGACGGCCAAAGAGTCGACGGAAGTGTCGGACGAAGAGATGACGAATAGGTATTCAAAATACATCAGTAACTCATCCCATAGGAAGCGAAACATGTCTTCACATAAGAGGCATCAGAACCAGAGATCAGACAAGAGATTCAAGTCTTCGTACCATTGATTCATGAATTAGTTACAAATTGTTTATAATTTAAAAAACATTTTTATAATTATTTTAAAACTGCTTTTTGTGTATAAATGAAGAGAAATTGCTTTGATTTTTGTTTTATATATAAATGTTTAACAGATTACCTTTTGTTATTCAAATTATTTTTAACAAATTTACTAATAATTAAACACCTTATTAATATGGAATACAATCTGAAATTATTATGTTTTATTTGATTGCTTATTAGTAATGTTTACGAGAATTAAATAGGGTAAATGTCTTAACATCAACTCAAATATAAATAACACTATATTTACATGACATGAAAAATCGGTACAATTATTAATTTAGTAAAAGATTTCGCTTTCAATTGATGTCTTTGCGAATCTGAGCGAAAAAGTCGAGAGCTTTAGTGTAGGCCTTATTGACGGCCTTCTTCTCACTGGCTTTTCGCGATTCATTCAACTTCTGCTGATCCGTATTGTTCTCAATGCCCAACGGCTCCAACTTATTGCGGGGCAACCATTGCCTGTCAACACAACCATATGGTTAGCACGTGCTTTACATACTGTACAAACCAATTGAATCAATGGTGACATACCAGGTGCGCTTCTGGTCGAAAAATGACACCAAATACTGGTTATGTTTGTCCTCTTTCTTGCCCAACGCCAACACGTCATTCGGAGGAACTGGTGGTCCGTTTCCATTGGGATAGTCTGGCAGTTGGGGGTCAACGATCTGAATGCACATAACGGTAAGGTATACATTAGAACCAGTATCAAGAATATTCATTAGAATGAGTGACATACCAGTGCGGGATACCAGGGATAACCCTGACACTTGGCCCACACCAAGTCATTGGGCTGAAGAGGAATTTTGTGGTTCTCGATGGCAGAGATGTCTGAACGCGATGATCGAGATCTCGGCCCTAAATGAGACACAATCTGTGAGTGACTGACACAGCATTTGATATACGGTATCGTACTTCTGGGCGATTCCTTTTTGGTGCGACCACTGACTCGACTACTGGTGCCCGAAGAGGGGTTACTACTCTCCCTACTCACACTAACTCTCCAAGGGCATCTTGGTCTGCAGAACCTACTACGCGACCTTGATACGCTAACACTCGAGAGTCTGTACTGTAGGCTTAGCCCGCCTCTCAAGTGACGAAATGTTTAGACAATTAAGAAATGGATTCAATTGTTTGTCGATATAATGACTCACTATTTCGATAAACACTGAAACTCTCCGTTTGAGGCATTAATGGGTTGCCTTAAACTCTTAGTTAATTTGCCTCGCTTCTTAATCATAAAACGGCAAACGAACCTGCGCTTCTTGAGGATAAGCTAGCGGAAAACCAAGGATATAAACCAAGTATTTGTGTTCTCTTAATGTAATTGAAATCAATGCCAACAGACATACCGCGAGACTCACCTCTTATAGCCTGTTCTCTGGCAAACGATTCGGCCGTTTCTGTGAACATATTAGTGGGCGTAAGAGTCGAGGCATCGACTGCCAGTCCCTTAGAGTTAACGAGTTTTGAATTTTGACCCTTTTTTCGAGAACTCTTTTCGGGCACTAATTTTCCTAAATTAATTGCCGGGGAATTGGAGGACAGACTGTTTGGTGACAGAGCGCTACCTAATGAGGAACCGTTCACTTTCTTCTTGTTATTCCGCGAACTTGTTTTTGTAGATTCTGTGGACAGAGACTCAAGTTTTAGACATTTAGTGTTTATGTGTATCCAATAAGCGGTACAAACCATTCTTATTATTCATTTTACTATTCATTGATTTATCGTTTTTTGTTTTATTCTTAGGTCTCTTGGGAGGAGATTCTAAGAAATAAATTTACATTACTTTACATTTCAAGCAGTGATAAAGCGTGTGGGAAATTCAAACCTTTTGGATTTGTAACCGAATTTTGTTTATTCGGAGAATTGTTGTTGGATTTCATGAAACCCTCGATTTCAGTGGAGTTAATACTCGCCGAAACAGAATTATACGTTTTTCTGCCTTCAATTTTGTCGATCAAGTGTTTGAGATTAGCGTTGTTTTCACAGATATCCGTCTCGTCTGAATCGCTGTCCACAGAGTTGTTGGTTATCTTGCTTTTGGATGAACCCTTCTGTTTGCGTTTGTTTGAAGACGAGTTTCTATTGTTTGAATTAACACTAGAATTGAGGCAACTATTGGTTTGAAATGCAGATGCGCTCAACGGATTGGAACTGGTGTTGAGGGCACGACCCGAGTTCGTCGACTCAATCTTATCCCTAATGTTAGCGATCTCTGCCGTCAAACTCCTGACACGTTTAGTGCGAGAACCGCCCGATTTCTGAGATTTCGCTTTTGAAAGGCTTTGTTCTAATTCTTTGAGTCTATCTTCGAGTTGTTTTCGTTCCGATTGGGAACTACTGCTCACGTGAGAGGAGATCTGTATCTCATTGTCTGTGGGCCGGGAGTGGAGTCCAGTGCGGGTGTTGTACACATCGGACAACTTCTTGGCCTCCTTTAACAGGTTGTCGGTGTGGTCCGAGAGTTTGAGGGCCGCCTTATGCCATACCGTCTCTTTGGTATTATATTCCGTGCAGTTATTGATTATAAGTCTGAAGTCAGTGACAAACGAGTCGAACGAAATGTATTCATTTCTATGGATCTTAGCCCTCATTGTACTGAAATCCATGGGAGTCCTAATGAAGTCCAAGTAATCGGGAACGTCTTCAACACTGACTGGTTCTGCGAAATACTTATTCGCGTCCTTCTCCTCAAGACGTGTCAACACATTCAATAGGAATAACTTAAACGGATTCAACTGATACTCGACAGTACTTTGTCTGGTCCTCAGGTACTCTCTCTTCAATTTCTCGCGTTTGCGAATCAATTCGACTAAAAGTCTCACTCTTTCCAAGTCTTGTCTCAATCTGTTCGCAGTCTTCAGCTGTTCCCTGATTTTGATCACATGTTCGTCATCTCCGTCTTTGTGACAGTCTTTGCGGAGACTGTTGTGAGAGATTTGAAGTCTCCTCAGAAGCGGCACTCCATTCCTCGACTGACGCTTTAGAGTCCAATAGCCTAACAATCGCTGCAGAAATTGGTTTCGTTTGGGAATCGAAACCATTGCCGCGATTTTTGTTAGTCTTTCCAACGGAATGGTCGGAACCGACACCTGAGGGATCGCCGACCGCTTTTCGGCTAATATTTTGCGCGCTTTCTTCATCTTCTCCTTGAACTTAGCCTTCGTTTGTTTGACTCTTTGGTTGTCGAGACGCGAGTCCTCCTCACCGGACGAGTAGACGCCACTCAAAACGGTTCCGTTCTCGTCGGTGGGGGTGTGGGCGTCACAATACGCAGCCTTCTTCACGTTCGTCACCAGACCGCCGGACGTCATCTCTTTGACGGCTTCCATCTTCATGTAGAGGCCGGCCTGTTGTGCACACGTCACGTGAAACGCCACATAACAGTTGGCTTTGTGGCACTGTATGCATGCGCCCACTCCTCGCTGTTTGCATATATAGCACGAGAGCTTCCATCGCGCAGACGGTATGTTACCGATGCTGTCGATCGGCTCCAGGAATACAGTGTTTGCGAAACACACTTCTGGTATCCAAAGGGCGCACACGACGTGAGACCAGCGGTTGTCGTCGGTCTGCTTGAAAGCGCCGCCTTTGTTGGGACACAAGACACAGTCGACGGCGCGCGACGGCGACTGCAAGCAGCGCCGGCAGAGCCACTGCCCCTCCGGTATGTAGGGAACGCCATAACACTCCTGATGTACGGCTAGATTACACATATCACAGAACAGAATGGCGTTTGAGTTTTGACACTCGCCGTCATTGCATATACAGCAGACCGCGTCCTCGTCTATGGCGGGTCCGACCTCTTTGCCGCTGTTCTGACTCTGGAAATACGACTCCTTTTCCAACCTATCCATCAACAGCTCAAACGTGTCGGCCGGCACTTCCGGCAACCGGTCGGCCCTTCGCTTCTTGTTCACCAACTCGAGCCAAGCCGTGTCCTCTTCGTCCATATCGTACTCCACCTCTTCGTCGATGTCGTCAATCGTTTTCTCGATATATCGGTAATAAGAAGAGGTCCGCAGTTTGGCGTTCGGCGGTTCATAGCCTTCAATCACCCGAAACGACGGCTCCGGGAGTTTTAGCACTAAAGAAGTGGTGGTCTTCGCGGCGAGAGGTGTCGTGTGTTTGGACGCCATGTCTTTGCGCCCTTTGCCGCACTTCCCGCTCCTGTTCTTCCCTTTGCCGGTCTTCGTCTTCCCGGCTGTCGTGCCGTTCGTTTGGGGCGTTGACTGACAGTCAGAGGAGTTCTTCTTGTGTTTGGAGACAATGCTGTCATTAATACTATTGTTGGTGTCGTTCAACGAGAGAACACTTCCGTTGAGTGGAGAGCCGTCAGCGCCGGCGCTCACGTTCACGATGTCGAGGGGTTCGTTGATATTGATTCTGTGGACTTTGCCGTCGATGTCCACTTCGACGAGCTTCTGGGCCTCAGCATAGGTCAGCGCTTCCCTGTTGTTACTCTTGAGGAAGTCTGGAGGAGAGGGCGACCGACCGGACGACCGGTGATGCCATTGACCCCTCTTCTTGGCGGGCGAGTCATCGGCGGTCTGTTCGGTGAGCAGTCTGTTGTGGATGTGATCGTAATTATACAAATGTTTGGAGTAAGGGTGTATTCAGAACATTTAGAACACCGTGAAGAGCATACCTGTGTTTATGCCTCCAAAACAGCGGAAATACAAGCTGTCTTTGCTGAACGTCAGTTTCAGATTGTGGTAAAGGTGGCACTTTACCACCGATTCACTGATTATCTCTAAATGTTATTATCGTTCATCAATGGTTCCGACAGTTCCCACATCTGTGGCACTCATGAGTCCCTGTATTTCACTGGAAATCAGATGAAAAGTGGTGAAAGTGATGCGCGATGTGGTGAGAGGTGTCATACAAACCATAATCAGTGGTCTCCTCGTGTCTCATCGGATGCAATGGTGTGCACCGCAAGTGATGGCAGATATGAATGAATCAAATGTCAAAATATATGACAAATGAAAAGAAATTTATTTACAATTTATGCCGACGACCGCAAATTGGGTCCGATATTCACTCAAATATGATGATTGAACTAAAGTGTGATTGTATTGAAAGCATTGAATGATTGGATCAATGGATCAATAGTTTGCAAATCAATTGAAATGCAAATAATGTTTAATTGAATTGCGTTTAAAAAGTGATGAAAATTAAAAATAGAGACAAAACTGTAGATTAGACGCGAAAATAGAGAAAATACAAACAAATGCTCACAAAATGGGTTTCAATTAATACGACAAATGCATTGAAATGCATACGAATGCTGACTTCAGTGCCTACCAGACCCTACACCGCCTGCAGTACACAACTCGTGCACAATCTGTGGACTCATTGCAGGCATAGCTGATGCTGTGTGTCTACAAAGTGTGCGCCACTGACTGACTGCGGGCTGAGTTGGGGTATGGGCGGAGTGTGTGTGTGATTCATGAGAGTGTGTGACGTATGCGTGTGTATGGAGTGGTGTTGTCTAAGAGTGTATGCGTTGTAGTGTTGAGTAGTGTTTGCATTCGTAGGCAATACTGAGTGAGTGCTTGAATCGCAACCAACACTACGTTTTGACGCCATTTCGCACACATTTGGGTCACAACGGAGACCACATTCCCGACGAACCACAGGTTAGTGCGCTCTCTCACGAGCACCGATAGACCGGTGCCCACAGTGGACACCACTCGCGAGTGGATGGCAGTGGCCATGGATGCCAACAATGACTGCTCCTGAGTCCAAAATGGCGATCACTCACGGCTTCCCACAATGCAGTCACGAACGGCTCAGCCCTAAGCCCCGCCCTAATCACGAAACACTGCCACTCGTGCTGTGATTGGCCGCCACTGGACTCACGCGCCATACAGTCAGCCATTGACTGCATGGGTGTCCTCTTTGGCGCTAAACATGATTTTGACAATTGATTTGTCGCTCAATACTAATGACATGTTTTGAGTGCTGTGATTGGCCGCCACTGGACTCACGCGCCATACAGTCAGCCATTGACTGCATGGGTGTCCTCTTTGGCGCTAAACATGATTTTGACAATTGATTTGTCGCTCAATACTAAACTGTACAAAACCACAACAAAACTTGTCTATCACTGGAAAACCACCTGAGAAACGTGACTAAAGCACTAATTATTTATCAGTGTTTTACGACATAAATCTCCTGATAAACCTTTCATACAGATGAAATGCCGCATTTGTCACATAATGTCCACTCATTGACCATTTCATAAGTTTTCAAAATTGAATCCAAAATAAAAGCAATTAATAAAATGAATGAAGAAATGCATGCATTTTACACATTATTGTTGATATGATATGTATTATAACTGTGTTTAATGACAATCACTTCATTCACACAGTGATTGAGCACTTACCACAAGAACTCAGAGATCGCTTTACAGAAATGCGTGAAATGGATCTACAAGTTCATAGTAAGACATTCTTGTATTATCTCCTACCATAGAACCACTATAAGACTAGATTTACTGTACACTTATTTACCCATTATTGCTATCATTACTATAATATCCATTCATAAGGTGTTTCAGTGTTTAAGGTGCTCTTCCTCTTAGTTGGGATTACCACTCAGTCTATCATTAACTATACGATGGGTTCCTCCACTCATAACCTCTTGATTTCATTGATTAGACTCTAATTGTAATTATGTTTAGTATCGGGAAGTGTGCGGTGAATGTGAATGTGTTGTTCGCTTGGATTGAGTGACTGATTGATTGATTGTCTTGTATTGATAGACGCGATGGACAACTTAGAGGAACAGACCAAACAGTTCTTTAGTAACGCAAAGGTCATGAAAACAGAGCAAAGAGACCTCGAATACGACCGAATAAAACAGGTTTGCAATCAATATCTGCAAGCATTTGGTGATTAACTAAAAGAGTATTGCATTGAATGAACGGCTCGTGTACTTCAGGACTACTACAAGACCTTAGAGGACGCTGAAGAGAAGGTGCACTTAGCGAATCAGATCTACGAACTCGTGGACAAATATCTGCGACGATTAGACCAAGAGTTGCAGAAATTTAAGATAGAATTAGAGGCCGACAACTCAGGCATCACTGAGGTCTTAGAGAGGAGTGAGTCCCTCCCGTTAGGGACAGGTTACTGAGGGAATATGTTACAGACACACAGACAGGTGATTTCCCAGCGATCTCAACCTATTGGGCGGCGGGCAACGGCAGTTAGTGCACGCCCTCTTCGCGTTCATATGCAAACACAACACCGGCAATAATGTGGGCCCAAACACCTCCTTCTCCGCACCGAATTCAGACCGACACCACATCTCCACGTCTGAAAAAGTCCTATCCATTGCTCAAGACATATACAGGGGAACTGTACCCAACCCTAACCCACTGTCCAGTGGCTCGGGAATCATAACCAGTTCTAACATCACTAGCAATCGTCTCAATTCTAACGCATTCACACCATTACTAGCGGTCGTGAACGCAAACAACAGTAATTATCCGAACGGCACTAATTCGACCACAAATTCATCGCTCATACCATCGAATGCATCCATTTCTGCCGATAAGGGCAGTCCATCCAACTCGACACTACCTCACGGCTCGTTTAGGTGTAATTTAGGCAACACTGCCATCGCTGCGGCCGCTTCTCAGGCCATCGCCGCCACACAACAGGTATTGTACTCTTCAATAGCACTCACCTCTCAATCCTCTTGTAGTAAGTGGTCGTACAGTAGAACAGCTCTTCACACATATCCATAAATACTATTTTAACTGTTATTGCATTCATTAGTCACGTATTGGTTATATTAATGAGTTATAACTGATGTGACTATAAATGAACGGACATTATTGGCACGTCCACCACCACTACCCATATAAAGGGCTTTGTTTGTCAATATGATTTGATGACTAAATCTATAGCTTTCATATACTGTAACTGTTGCCACCTCTTACTCATTGCCATTCATACTGTGATCTTATTTGTAATGATATCTGAATGTGTTTTCGTGGATCAGATGCAACAGGGAAGACGTACGGCTAGTTTGAAGGCCAGCTATGAGGCCATCAATAATGTGGGCTTTTCTAACGAAATGCCGAAATTGAGCAACTCTCTCGTGAGCGGATTGCTGTGGAGGTTAAGTGTAGGCCTAGATAACTTGGCTAGCTTAAGTAATCCAATACCGATACTGAGCCGAAAGTTTCGCTTATTATCCGGCAACAAGAGGAGCAGATCTAGTCATTACTCCGACTCGACATCCAATTCACACATTTCCGTCAATAACTCCAATCTGTTTGAAGACAACTCGTCCGAAGCCATGACGAGCGACAACAACAACGGTGGCGGCGGTGGAGGAGCGCCCGACTGGACGTTCGACCCAAATGAGCCCCGGTATTGCATTTGCAATCAGGTCTCGTATGGGGATATGGTTGCCTGTGATAACGAAGACGTACGTACACTCATGAATGCCTTTCAATGCCATACTCACTGTCATTGTGTGTCTGTCTGTCCGTCCGTTTCAGTGCCAAAAAGAGTGGTTCCATTACGGATGCGTTGACATAACCCAACCCCCGAAAGGCAAGTGGTATTGTCCGGACTGCTCGGAAAGACTCAATAGAAAGAAAAGTAGGAAAGAGAGGGCGTGAAAGGCTCCCGCACTTACTCAAATCCCAAATTTGTATTAACATTAATATTAAATATCGTTATAAACAATTTAAAAAGGTTAAACACTAGTTGATAAACTAATCAAATAACAATAATTTTTATTCAATAATATCAAATGAATGCAAAAATCTATTCATCGTTTAACTGATACACGATTTCGTCATCACTCGAGTGGTCGGACAGCATAAGCATCGCATCGTCCAAACCGTCCGATTCGCCCGAATCCGAGTCATTGCTGTGATCGCCGTCACTCTCATCGTCGCCGGACTCGTCGTCGTCTCCATCGGGTTCGAGATCGAAGTCCTCTGTGTTGTCGATGTTGTCGTCCTCATCGGTGTCCTCATCCGCCACATCGTTCTCCTCGTCGTCATCGTCTTCGTCGTCCTCCTCGTCGTCGTCTTCTTTATGTCTTCCGATTTCGAAAAGTCTGGCCACGGATTCGTTGGCGAAGGCGTCCCTATTGTTCTGATTCTCGACCAGAGCTATGTAACAGTCGCCCGGGTCTACCGCCAAGTCATAGATACTGCGCTTCACGTCAATGGTGGCGATACTCGAGTAGTCGTAGGCGTCGAACGTACGGAACGACGAGCCGTAAGGACTCTTCGATTGGTCCTCTTCTTCAGAGTTCTCCTCTTCGAAGACGGCTTTCGTTTGAAATATAATTTCATTAATTCATTGTTCACTGGATTTACTGTATATCGTTTGTTTATGGAGGCATATACTGTAGAGGATATAATAACTTAAACTACGCTGTGACTAGGTCCCGACCGTGACAGAAGTTGTCTACCTTACAGAACTACAGGGTGATTAGTCAGTTTTCCGTTAAGTGAAACAAATATTAAACAATTTGCAAACAATACAAAACTAGTGAATAGCTTACGATTTCTGAGTTGGAAAGGATTTCCTGACCGTTCGGATGAAATACTCCATTAATGTGTTCATTAAATTTGTCAAACTTGTGGACAGGAGTGGCACTGCGAGTGTCCCACAGAACTCCATCGTTAAGTATGAGATCATCTGACGGGTGAAAAGTGGCCCTATTTTTCACGTAACGGTTCGATAGGTTCTCGTCCTGATAGGTGTGAACCATTTTACCGGTCGGTAAGTCATACAACTGTTGCACGAAAAACACAATTTAGTTGTTTTCACAAAATTATTCAAATAAGTACTGACGTGAGCGGCGAAGTCTTTAGTTCCCAACACTCTGTCCTGACTTTGTTTACCAAACTCTACGTAATAGTCATCACGGAATGGGAGTCTAACAAACAATTATCGATACATTAATTTGCATTCAAAGTATAATTATTTTCAAATTTTTACTTCATTTCAAAAACATCAGTGAAAGTCCATAACGCAGACAATGGTTGTCGCCATAGCGATGACGTGAGGATAAGTTTGCCGTCCTTTGGGACAAAACAAGGGTTAAGGATAAGAAAACTGGTGTTAATATGAATAATATGTGGACTCACTCGTGAGGGCTCGATGTGAGTAATCTCGGATTCGTGACAAGAATAGGTGGCTTCGAGCTAACCATTAAAGCAAATATTTATACAAAATATCAATACAAATGGCATTCATGTACTAACAGTGCCGCTGTGGAGGTTGAAAGCCGCCAATTCACCGCTTAATGTGCCTAAAAAGAGGAACTGATCGACATACTGGTGCCCATCAGTGTGTCATATATTAGATTGTTGTCTGCATTATGTATTATAGAGTAAGTCGATGGCATCACTAAACAAGAACTCACCGAAAAAGCACAGCTCGAGAAACTACTGGACGATTCTGGGTCTCTATACGAACGGATGGGTCGGAATCGGCTGTAAATGAATTTGCGGTCCATTTTAGAGCCATTCAAACCTCCAAAGCGAGGAAATATAGATCGCCTTTGAAGACGAGTAGTCATATTGATTGGCGCCGAATCTCTGTTCAATGGTTCCGGACATCGATGAGGAGTAAACAAATCAAATGGAGGACAAGTGACGACTGGGTTCTTGCAGAGCGCGTGTTGTTTACGGAGATATTCCGTTACTATTGAGTCCAATGATATGGAAGACACGGCTTGTGGTTGACTCGAGTGTTCGTTCAGCCGTTTGATTATAGGGGACGACGGATGAGTCGTTGACTGAAGTTTTCTGACGCTTAGACTTTTGGCCGAACTTTTGCTAGGATTAGGTCGATGTATACGAATGGGAACACTGGGGGACAGGGAGTTCGCATTCTGCAGACTAGAAGGCGAGGATAAGGTATTTGCAGACACGACGGGAGTCATAGTATTGTTGAGCGTCGCACTGCTGACGGGGGAAGAGGTGGACAAACTGTTGGGAAATGGAGCCGTCGATATTGGACGTGACTATCGACAAACAATTTGTCATCATTTCATTCATTATGGCATAACTAATATAAACTTACGACTCGATTGAGGGAAAGGGGTGTCGTTTGCCATAGACTAATAGCTCGATTAGAACCAGAGGCCGGAAGTTCTGCTTCTGTGTGCAGTAATTGAGCCGTTTTTGATAAACCCTTTTTCATTAAGTGATGGTAAATGAGTTGTAATAACTCCTTCTCATTGAACTCAATCCTCGTCTGCGCCACCACTTCTGCCTTTAGGTTATAATCAAATGTCATATTCAATCAAATGCTAACAAAACGCAAACAACACTTACTTTATTGATGTTTGCAATAGAAGTCTCTAAATTGGTGGCCACGGGAGCGCCGGTCACTCTCTCAATAAGTTCGATGCAATGCTTGCAAAACTTTATGTGTTCTGTTCTCTTGTCCTGAAGTATAGGCTCTTTCATAAGTCCCTGGATTTGTCCGTTTGTGAAAAGTGGTAGTTTTGAAATGATTTGTTTCACTGTTTCACTGCGAGCTAATCCACACAAAGCTTTACAACTAAGAGCTCTTATAGAGTCGGCGTCAGTGATGGGTGTCTTAACCATCAATAGGTTCAACAGAATCATAATCCCATTATTACTTCGGACACAATTCCACATTTTGGTCAACAAATCCTCTCCACTCCTGAACGACCTCTTCTTAGCACTTCCGCCGCACAGACGAGCGATAGAGCCGCCGATTCGACTCAATGGCCCGCAAACGCAGTTTACTATAACATTAAGGGCAGAGCGCTGACAGTCAGGGTCGGCCACTATCTCACCCTCAGCCGCAGCTAATATTATCCTAAAGTAAAATCAAATAATTAACAAATTGTATGTTAAAATGGTTGTCAAACCAATACCTAATGCCAACAGTGTTTTGGTTGTCATCCCCGACGGGCACGTTCTCACACAACACGTTCTGGAACTTTGGGGTAACGCTGCACACGACCAGCACATCCAATGCACTTCTCACTGCCTCAGCCCTATCGATAGAAAAGCCATTTTAATACACAACCCTTTCCCTCACAATATGACAGTAGAAATACTTACTTTCCCGTGAAGTTCCAGTCGTAAGAGACGGCAATGAGTTGAATCAAAAGCTTAACTCCACTTAACTTCAAGAGTTCGTCGACTGGTTTCCAATTGATTCTAATGGGCATCAGTTCGAGCAGAGTCTCAACCCTTTCCATAATTATGTCATAACTATATCGCGTCGACTTATAGGGCGGAACATTAGTGGCCATCGAGTCCTTCGAAGTGGACTCAAAGCTGGAGTAAGACGTGGATCGGCGCAGGATCTCAGCCTCGACCAGAAGGTGCGCCTCGTAGTAGCGCTTGAGTGCAACGCATACGTGCCGTGCGTTTTGCCTTTTGGTGAACAACTCGTCTTCAGTGTATTCCGTTTCGTCAGAAAAGATGTCCAAAAGAAATATCTTTCCATACAAACCAATACGAGTTTAGAAAACATTTCATTCAAACGCTTAGCAATAGTTAAATGAATACCACATTTAGAAGTTTTCTGAGTCCGTCCTGACTATCAAACAGCTCAAGAATCATACGAAACGAAAAACTGAGACTAAAAAACATAGTGGCGTGACATCGACTCGAGTCGTGGGAGCACTCGAGCAGCCATAAGGCATAGGCCACCAAATCGTTGAGTACGTGTTTCGGCAACAGACAGATCTGTGAGTTATTCAACATAATGAGCAAGGGCATTCGCACAAACATTTCTAATCATTTCATACCTTTTCCATTGCGTCCTCATTATATGCTAAATAGTATAGACAAATGGAGACACCAGTGGCCGCAACAGAGGGCCGGTATATCTGAAGTAATTGCTCTAATCCTCTGGCGTTTAAAAATTCTAATGAAAACTTCTTATGACATAAAAGAGATGCCAAATACTGTCCGATTAAATACAACTTAAATTAAACTCAATGTTAAAAAACTAATAGAAAAATGTATGCAAACCTTGAGGGCGTCGAAAGCGAGTCTAATGTCTCTGTTTTTGGTTAAGTCGATGTAATGCATGATCAGTGAGAGAGCGTTGTGCTCGAACACAAAACACAGCATTTCCTGATAGTCACCCATTGGTGTGAGATATTGTAATATAAACCTCTGTTTCATCTCTTCGGTCAAGGGATGCACTTTCGAGAAGCCAATCATATAGGGCTCCACTTCAGCCCAACTACTGTTAGAGCACTCGCTGTTATACGTCGACGGACTCAGCGCTGAGAAACTGATTGGACTCGAAAGGCGGCGCCGTTTGTTCAGATCCGGAGAACTCGACTGAAGGGTTCGTTTGCTTTTGTTCGGAGATTCACTGGAAATGTCACTCAAATCTGCTTTGGATTTCGAAATACACTTCTTTGGACTCAAACTGTTGTTATTCAAGTGAAGGAATGGCCGGTCATTCAAATGGTTTTCGTTGGTCTCAATGCTCTTATTCCGCAACTCTTTCAGTCTCTTCAACATAATTGGCAGAAGTCTGGCGTTTTGGTCCTTAGAGTTGGTGGCGATGTCCTGCACTTCCATCGCAGCCGCCAATAGTCCCGTCGCGTATGACTGCAACGGATCCGAAGCGCTTTCGGCCCATTGGAAGAGTCGCTGCACTAAACCCTCCTATCATTACAATTGCCGACCATTTAGTGATTGCGAGACAACTGAACAAAAGCGCACAAAACCTACCGTTTCATTGAAGACGACTGATGTCTCCAAACCGGGCAATATGTCTAACATTAGACGACAGGCAGCGATGTGCAGGTCTTTGTCGTCCCTATGCATCACATAGTCGTTGACTAACTGTTCATCAAAACAGACAATCGGTTACTGTATTAGTGACCAAAACATAGAAACAAATAAAAAACACAAAAACAATACTTTATTCATGAAGTCATCGTTCCTGAAGAGCGTCTTGAGGACGAGTCCGAGGGAACAGTCGGGTCGGGCGCGGGAGGGGTGGCGGTCGTCGAAGGGGTCCGGATCCATCTTCAGGTACGCCTCCGTCTCCTTCTCCACGAGTTCTGAAATTCTGGACACAAATCAAATCAAATGACAATTGGTTTCATTGAATGGATTCATTGATGGCATACTTGTTGAGGACATGAATCACTTGTTCCGAAGTCCTGTTGTCTTTCTGCCAGACGTCCAGCAATTGATTCAATTGAGGGATACTCTCGAGTAAACTCATGGCAACTGGTCCACAGTTCAGATGGACACAAATGAAGACGTTTTGTCACAAAATGATAACAAAATAACTGAACAATGAATGCAATAATAGTCGTAAAACTCTATTAAAACATAAATAATAATAATTTGTATTAAATATAAATGAATTGTAAAACGAAATGAGAGTTCATTTGTTGACTAAATGAACAGAAATAAGAAAATAAAAAGTTTTGTCAAAATGTAGTCAACATATGATCGAAGAGACAATTGAATGGCAATCGTGTGTCATATGAGCGCACATTGGAGTCAATCACTGAAAGCCGACATTAATTGCAAACAAAACGCCGTTTCGTTCCCCGAAAACAACATATTTTCTGTTGTTTTTCAGTTGTTGTCGAACTTTACTACACATTAATGTCCGGAAAACACGTTTTACTCCACTTTTACAACACTCCCCTTCGTTGCTATCATATTGCCGTCAACGCACTGGTCGTCACTATTTCACTCACAGATTATTCCTATACACCAATTAATAGTAGGATTACTTATAAATGTATCATGTTCAATTAATGGCTGAAATAATTTTACAAATATAAACCAAATTAAATGAAATATATTTGATGAGAGAAATGTCGGCAATATTTGCCAAAACTAATGTGTTATGAAACCCTTGATTTTGGTTCACTATATGTAGTGATAGTACGCATGCGTCACAACATTGAGTCATTCGATTAAATTGTAAAATTGTTGAGAACTTTGAGGCATTGATTGGCATCTGATTGAGAGGTGTGTGACTCACACCATATGACCCCTCGTGTCCTCTCCATTACCCCCGCATTGGACACAAGCACTGAATATATGGTGTAATCCCTTGAAGGGTGAGTCCATTGCAGTATTGGCTCACTGTATGAGTTGCGGCCAAAAGTTGAAAAGTGTTATACGATTGCCGATTGGTATGAATTGGCAGTGAATGCGATTAAAAGGCATACATATGATGAATGTTAGCATAACATTGAATGCAATGTAGACACCGATATAATTTACAAAGTTTTAACCCGAATAGTCAATAAAGTGTTCCTGATTATTCCCGAACTCACTAAATGGTGGCCAGACTTTGATTGCCATTTGAATTGCACCAAAATATATCGGAAAATATCCGCAAATGTTTGCAATTAACAAGATTTGCATAACAAATTATTGAATCGGTCAGTTTTTAACTTGCATGTACATTTCACAAAGCCATTCATGTTATTTCTATGGACTTCGTAAATGTACGTAAGTTAAAAACTAGCCAATGTACCGATTAAATAAAAATTTTATGCAAATTTTGTTAATTGCAAATCATATAGTAAACATTTGCGCACATTTTCCGATATACTTTTGTCAAATCCAATGGCAATCAAATTCTGGCCACCATTTGATGAGTTCGGGAATAATCGGGAGCACTTTATTGACTATTCGGGTTAAGATTTTGTAAATTTTATCAATTAGGATATTATTGAAAATAGTTTCTGGTGGGTTAAACACCAGGATTGTCTTAGTGGCCACTGTTTCGGGCTTCCGAACATTGGTCACAAATACCCGCTCCACGGCTTCTCCGATGGCCGATTGAACTGGTTACAATTATTTTTAGATTTTAATTAACTCAATTAAATGTATTGATGCTTTCCCGAGGCAATTGAATTGATCCCTGGCCAGATAAATACGATTTACCACTATGACTTAAACTTCTGTGAGTCTTTTCAAAAAACGGGTTGTACTGTACTTTGGGTCACAGGCCGAGTGGGTAAATATATACTGACCAAAACTGATCAGGACATTTTCGTGCGGTCATGCCTTATGTTATGATTAATTATTGTAAAGTTTTTGGTCTCCCGATTACTTTGACCACAAAAACATATGTGACTCTAAATAATATTTATTATATGTTTTGTATATGTTTGACGACCAAGTAATGCCTTGTGATTACACAAATAGATCACAGATTGTTGAAAACACGTTAATCATAATAATTATTAGTTATTTATTATTAAATATATGATCAGTTTTACTATGATAGTAACTTACTTTATTCATAAGTTTTCAGAATATAAATAAAAACCACAAATTTTCAAATTAAAATAATAAAACAAAATATATGCCCTGAATATAAATATTAATTTAGTTATAATAATACAGTAATAATGAAATGCTAATTAGATTTATTGAGGACTGGAGTGATGGGCCATAATATGGTGACCTCCCTGTGCTTCACCTGATTATTCCTATTTGCATACAAACCCCTGTGTGGGCACTGGTGTAGTGAATACACATCAAATTATTTCAGTACTCAGTTAATAAAATAAATAATTAATAGAAATGTTTATTCATTTGTCATACATTTAAATAGCAAACCATCAATTTGCTAACATTTTATTTATTGTAATAATAAGTTAAAAATCATACAAAACTAGTAATAAGTTTATCAAATAATTTTATTCTGTATTTATCTTTGGTTCACAAAAATAGTATTCAATTATAAAAATAATTTTTGACAACTCTTCGAAATAAAAATTCTTAATTGAATTCTTTTGAACTAAATTACAGAAAAATTAATATAAAAAATAATTCAAATGTTGTCTAAAGGCTAAAGCCTTTAATAATTAAAATATGAAAAAAGTTTTATTAAATAAAACACTATTTGTATTAATACTGAAATGAAATATTAATATTAATAAAATGGTAATAAAATATAAAATAGTATATTGTGTGAGAAAAATGGATTAAATAGTGTTTAATGAATAGACGGAAAGGAATTATAGTACGATTGGTCCGTTGAATGTGATAATACGGGTGACAATACTATTTGCTTTGAGCGCTGCTATCATCGGTCAGCAGATCTAAGATCTCTTGAATGGTCGATAAGTTGCGATAGTTTTCGGGCAGACCTTTCAAGGTGTCGATGACGTGGTCGACGATGTCGTCCAACTTCTTGATCTCGTCGGTGGCCTTCTTGTCGTTCTCCTCCCAAACCCTCCTATTTCTGGCGTATTTGGCGCCCAACCGCTCAATCATCTCCTCCTTCAGAGCCAACGACTCCTTTAAACTCACGTTTTCTAATCTCAACGAATCCAGGCTTTCAGACGACATCCACTTGGAGTCCGTTTTGTCCAACATTTTTCTCAGCTCCACATTCACAGACTCAGAGCACCTGTACTTCTCAGTCAACACGTCCAACTCGTTGTTCAAATTTAACATTTTCTTTGTATTCAATTCGTTTTCACTCTTCAAGTGATCAAAAAACTCGTTTTTCTCACTAATTATTAAATCCTTTTCATTCAAACCGCGTTTCAGTAAAACATTTTCTTTTATTATTTCATTTGTTTTATGCTTTAATTCTTCGGTATCTTTTGGATCGCAATTACTTTCACTGAAAAGCTCGTCAACTATACCATCATCGATGCAAATGTCTTTGCAATCGATTAGATTTGACGAATCAAATTGTGGCCACAGTTTAGATATAATCACAGAGTTGTCAATAGCGTTGCTTTTTGCTAATAGAGTGACGGCTTTCTCACGAATTTTATTTAATAGTTTACAAGAATTTTGTGCAAAATTCTCATAGTTTTCATTCTTTTGCACCAAATTCTCAATTTGTTTGTCTTTTTCCGCGACAGTCTCTTCAATTTGCTTCAGTTTCTCACTTCAAAGCAAACGTCAAAATGAGTATTCAATCATAATATAAGTGATAAATACCTCTTCTCTTTGAGTTTGTCGTAAACACTTTTGGACCAAACCTTCACTTTATCGAAGGTCTCCTTCTCTTTAATCCAATCCAACCTCTCTTTGAATAGACTCTCTTCGGCCTCTTTGAGACTATCGGCCAAAACAGTCCTCTCACTCGTCAAGAATTCGATGCTTTCTTTTGCTTCTTTGGTCTCGTTTTCGAGTTCTTTGATTTTGTTCTCTAATGTCTGGATCTTATCCTCGAGTTCTGTATGCTTTGTGTCCTCCAAATCGAGACTCGCATCTAAACAATAAAAATGCAAAAATTCAGACATAAAACTCATTTAAATGTCTTTTACTGCTATAATATAATGCATTTTAAACACACTTTATATTGCATTTAAATTCTTTCGAAACATTAATACTTATGTTTTCAACATTTTACATTGAAATAACGATTTTTATAACATTTAAAGTGATTATTGAATAAAAATCCTAATTTCGTGAGGATTGAAACGAGAGGTCAAACAAATGTTAACTTCATCTGTTGAACCAAAACATTAAATTCGTTTCAAATAATATTATGAAAAATGAAAAATAAATTTTAAGTAAATTTAGATTTTGAGTTAAAACTGAAATTTCCAAAATTCTCATTTGTTTGTGAGTGTTGTACAGCATTGGGATCCTTATCTGAAATGCATATTTCGCTTAAAGCGTTTGATTTATTATAATTTAATTCATGAAAATATTCTTTTTGATAGGACTATAGGACTCTCAGAATTTTATTTTCTTTAATATTAAGTTTGGATTACGTTTTGATCGAAGATTTTCTAAATTAATATTCCGTTTAGAGTGGAGTCGTGCCATCAAAAGCTATAATTTCCTAACATATGATAATCATTACAACAAAAATTGTTTTTTCTAGTGATTGATTGAAATAAGAAAAATCGCTAAAAATATAATAATAATATTCTAACCGATAAGTCGATTTAGAATTGAAATATATATGTTTTGTTATTAAATATAAAAACTTTATTAACATATTTTACTCGTTATATATCTGTTTTATTAGAGTTTTAGTGTGTTTTCATGTAAAACAATAAACAAATAAAAATTAGTTTAAAACAAACAGGATTTTCAATAATTTTCTATTAAAAAACTATTTGTAAACATATTATCTTTGGGTCACAACACAAAACGAGTCACTAATCACTTTAAATCAAAAATCAATATAAATATCTTAAATATTTATAATTTTCTATTAGTCGTCAAAAACTATTTAATCTAAACTCTTATCTATAAAATGCGTTTATTTTAATAACACATTTAATATTAGCTCTTATTTATATAACTTATAAAAAGCCATTTAATCAACAAAAATATTATTATAATAAAAGTCCATAAAATTAAACCATAAAAAGCAAAACAAGTATTTAT